CCGCTGTTCCCCCCAGCTGCGGGCGCCCTGGAGAGCTGCTTGGCACAAGGTGCGGCAACATGTGGCAACTCTGGAAAATCTCAGAGAAATTAGGGTGAATTAGGCGCATAAGATGTTCCGAGTGCTTTGAAGGGGATGGATTTGCAGCCTCCTGTCAAGAGAGCACGCCTGGAGCCTGGACGGAAGGCAGAATAGAAGCAGTGGACAGCAGGGGCTTAAACATATGCAAAAGTCCATGAAAGTTATGTTACTATGAAGCTGCAGTCAATCCACGGTAGCTGTGGTTACACGCATAAAGAGGTCGCTTTGAGCCGGCTCCTGTTTCCACAGCGCGCCATCAGCACTGTCAAGACGTGGCAACGGCCTGACTCTGAGAAAAGAACTGCCTTGATTCTCCATCCGGGGCCGAGTCGCATGTCGGAGTGTGTAGGTGTGGTCACGAAAGGTCAGGCGTGGGAGCGGGCCGGGCCAGAAAGTGTGTCGCTTGTCGGGGTTTTCATTGGCAAGCCACAATGCTTGCAGTAACTGCGGCATTTGGAGGGCATCAGGAGGGGGGGGCTCTGGGACGAGGCGAGCGCAGCTACGTGTGTCGTGAGAACAAGCCCTCCGCATGTGCTGCCGCGTCACGAGGTCATGGATAAACTGATAAACAAACAGTTCGAGGTGGTGTTGCCTCATCATCTTGCTGCTATACACAGCCTCAGATGTCAGTCCCCAGGTTTGGCAGGTGCCAGATGCCTGATCAGGAATGCGCATATACGTATACATAGTGCCCAATTTGGCGATTTGCAGCAACCTGCAACCTCTGTGAGCTTGAGGGACAGAACATCTCCTTGCGTGAGGTTCAGAGTCAATATTTGGATGCTTCAATCGTTGATGAGTGAAGGGTGTGTACTCGTAAAAGCACTGATGTGATTTCGGCTTCTGCCGCGTACATAGGCGTTTTCGTCGATGTGACCTCACGCATAAGCCGGCCTTGACTAGAATGTAGACAACGTAAACGCATCATGCTACATACTCGCATGCCCCCATGTCAGGGCCCCTTGGCTCAGGATGACAGGAGCTTCGACGCCGACCGTGACAAGCTGACACTAAACGGCAATTCGCCATACGCAATCACGTGTTCTCGCACAACGTTTTCGGCTTGCACAACCATAACCGTTCTGCTCTAAATAGGCTCGGTGAGCTGGCAGCTGGCGGTCCCCTGGCACCAGAACTATTGCCGTGGGCGGGTGTGCAGGCTGGTGCGTTTAACATGACGGGTTAAGCTCTCCGGCTTGTTGAGTCATTGAGGATGCGAACGTGTGTTTATTTTAACCATTTTTAACCGCTAACGCGAGGCAAGGGTGCCGAGGCTAATGCAGGGTTCGCGGGCGGGGCTCATAGGGCGCACAGGGCAGAGGTGTCGAATCCAGCGGCCCAGCTGCCGCAGCCGTGACAGCTCGTCAGCAAGAGGGGGTAGGGGAAGTGGGGCCACGACGACGCGTGGGGGCTGCTGGTATTGTTCGGGGGGGCGGGCTCTGGTCTGACACGTCGTCTGCAGTACACTGATCGGCTAGGGGGTACCCATTCCGGACCAAAAACTCGGCCGGAAAGGAGGGCTGGGCAGACCTTTCGAAGGTTCCCCAAACCTGGCTCTGAACGCCTCACGTTTCCGGCCTCGGCGGATTGCGAATGGACGACCGAGCCATTATTTGGTTGTGGATGCTTGTAGAGTCTCCAAGTTGTACACAGCAAAGTGCGTTACAGTGCCTTAAAGTGCCTTACAGTGCCTTAGCCAGCAGTGAGGTCTCAGTGCACTGTCAGGAAGTTGAGAGTGAGATGGAGCTGGAGATGTGGCTTTGGACCTGAGAGCTGGAAGCCTTTGCTCTTGACCAGCTCTTGAATCTCTTGAGGACAGGTACTTGAAGTGCCGAAGGCGGGAGAACCTCGAAAGCCTTTGCTGAGCGTGTTGACATGGCCTAGCTCGCCTGCAACTTGGTCACGGACGTGCACGTGCAAAAATCCGACCTCAGATGCCACGGCTGCACCTTCTGCGCATGTGCTGGGAACCTGCATGGATGTTGGACCAGTGGCATCCACAGTTGCCTCCGGGAGCCGGTGACCGGACCATTGAAAGCCAGAACGGCGCTTGTCATAGAACGGCGCTACATCCCGATCTAGCAATGCGAGCGGGCCCAAAAGAAGGTCCCTGCTTGCAGCCATGCTGAGTCATAGGCTCGTCGTCATCGTAGTCACACTGCAGCGAGCGCATGTGACAACGCGACACATGCGAAGTTCAAGCCTCGAATGCCAGGCAGAGCAAGCTGAAAAGGATGCACATGGAGGGGGCTGCTTGGCTGATCTTGGCTGCACTTTACATCGCTTTGGTTGGGTCGAGCGTGCTGGCCACAGGCAGCGTTCCTCTCCAAGCAAGTCGAGGAGCAAGCCTCCCAAAAGGCGCGCGCTGATGGGATGCACATGCTGCACGCGGTGAGCCCACATTTGCTGAATACTTCAAGTATTGTTCAAACCCATACGATCCTGCGAGCGAAGTTCTTCCATTTACGAGATGATCTCCAGTCTAGGCAGCAGAAAAGGAAGAGCAGCGGAAGCGCCGTGAGCCCGGACCCACCCTGCACGCTTTGGACCCTGTTGCCCTGGGTGTCTTTGGAGCGACGACCAGGGCCTGGATAAGTAGCACAGGGTCATAGAGGTGCTGCAATTCAGGAGACTCAGAAGTTACCACAATTACCATGTCAGAAAAGCTTTTCAATGCTAGCAACTGACAGGCATTGCTCCATACGTTTCGGATTCCAGCTGTTCAGCAAGAACTGCAGGTCGAGAGTGCTCAGACCGAGATGCGGCAGCTGCTCTTGAGGAGGAGAGGCAGCAGGCGCACAACAATCAGAAAAGACCATGTTTATCGAGTTTCGGTAGGGTAAGTCCTGCGCTTTCAAGTTAAGCTTCGGCGGTGCGATATAGGTTTGGCTGCTCGCGGGTCGTGGGTGGGGTGGCGTGGCGTGGCATGAGGTGGGGTGAGGTGGGTGTGTGCGTGCACGTGTGTTGACGGCATCGGCTCGAATAAAGCAGCTGCCGAACAGTCGAGGCGCTGGAGAGGAAGCAGCGGGAGAAGGCCACCATGTGGAGCTGCATCTTCATTATAGCGAGCCCACCTGGGCTCAGCCAAAAAAGCAGCCTAGCAAGTTTGACGAGTTCACTTCTTTTTGTTGCGCAGCATAATCCCTCGAGCTTTGCCGCTGTAGATGGCCTTGCCCTGGTGTCCAAGAAAGATCCAGACAGCAGGATCCAGGGCTTGAATCATTTGCTCATACTGCCTCCTATTGTCTCCAGGAGAATGCTGCGTTTCTCCAGCAGCAGATGAGCCAGAAGGCCTTGTCTGACGTGGGGGCATACGGACTAGAAAAGGAGACGTTGCATCATAGGTGCCATGGGCACTGTGCAGGCGTAGCTCAACACAGCACCCATGGCCCAAACAAACACATTTCTGTTGCAAAATTCTGTCCACTGCCCAGTTTGCCGCCAAGCTGGCGAACGACCAGATGACGCAGGCTCCAAAAGCTCGGATGCTGTTGAACTCTCATGCGCCATGAGGCAAGCTTGTCAACACAAGAAACAACCACGACTGTTGATTTGTAGTAGCTGGGTCCCGTCGCCATGCGCGCGAACCAACTTCAAGGAACCACAGGTCCAGAACGAATGCGCAGATCAAGAGCATGCAGAACTTCCCAGTCTGTGGCTTTGGTGCCCGGTGTAGCCTCTCCAGAGGCATGGTATGGCATGTCATGTTGGCTCCTTTACGTTTTTTCAGAAATATTTGGTACATCTCAGCAGCAGCATAGCACATAGCATTCCAGCGTCACGTGACAGCCCACGGGCATGCAAGTTTGTGAAGTTTTTGGCCAGGTTGAGCAGTCGATGAACAAGGCCACAGTGGTGTCTTGTGTGAAGAGTTCTGGAGTTGTTTGCATCCGGCAGCAACCAGGAGGCTCCTGAAGCGACAACAAGAGTCTATAGTCTTTGATGAGTGAGATGTCGTTGGCCAGTTGGACTCGTCCATGCGGTTCCATACCAACTTGTACCAACCGATGCTATATGTTTTTCTCAGAAAGGCCAGGGATGGCCAGAGTAAAGGGCCGCCGGCTGAAGCTCCCCCTTTCTGCCTTTGACATTCTGACATTCAATCTCTCTTTTCCAAAATGCGCATTGATGTTGCCCTTCGCGACCATGTCCCAGTCTCCAGACTAGACAACTTGTCGATCTGGTCAGGAAAGATTGGAAAGGGCCAGGCGGCCTGGTCCCCAAAATTGAGTGAAGAGTTGATTAGAACCAGACATTGCTTCCACCATCTTCTGCGAAGTGTAGAGGCCCCTTTGCAAAGTTGCATGAGTTGGGCTGCGTGCAAAGCGGAGACCCCGCCGGGTTTCCCGGTGCCCTCTGCCAAGGCTCATGCAGAATCAGCTCAGGCACCGCCGTGATCGCAATAGCCGTCCGATGGCACCACTTTCGCAGTCACCGGAGCCTTTTTCTCGCCTGGCAGGGAAGAACTGGCAGTCGCCACATGAGCTGGAGAAGGAGCGATCGTGTTCCTTTGGAATTATGCATGGGACAATTATTGTACGACTGGTGAGGGCGGACTGACAAAGGGCGGCTTCGTCTGCAGCGACTTTCGGCTGGTACCTCTTGGAGGAAGAACAATCATGAATAATCGCCAGGGCACCTGGTGGAATAGGCTGGTTGCAAAATTGCATAGCCAGGTTTCACAAAAGTAGGAATGCACAGGCCAAGCGTGCCTGCAAGACCTGCCCTGCCAAATTGGTGGGCAGGTTGATGTAAATGGTGCTATCAATGCCATCGCTTACAGCCTTTTGCAAGGCTGTGTTAACGAGAAGGTTTGAGGTCGGCTGCTGAGCGTCGAAGAGTCAAATAGGAAGTTGGGTTCCTGCCAAACGTATCTGCAGCGACAGCGAATTCAGTCAAAGCTAGAACACCCTTGCCAGGTGCTACGTGCAGCTAACAGGAAGCGCGGGCAAGGCGCAGCTAGTCACCAGTCGCTCTCTTGGCGAAGCACAAATGTTCCCGGCACTCCAGTTGCGAGGCTGTCTTGCTCACAAGCCTGACGCAAGATGCTGCCAACCGAGCATTGCCCCCAGTCTCTTTCAATGTCTTCCAGCTTGCTGAACCATGGTCGCGGTCACTGTGATTCTGAATCCTTGTTCTCTTTTCAAAGTCGACCAGATCAGCCCCTGAGTATACCATTAACCCGATGTGAGGCAGTCGACCAGCTCAGATCGTCAGGCTTTGTTGCAGAGGCCAGAAACTGTGTCTCCCCACGAAGTGAGGAGTCTGAGACAAATGTGATGACCGTGTGAATGTGGGGAGGGCGCGGCACTTGCACGTAGGAAAAACATGATGCTGCATTCTACACAAGCATCGGTTTTGTTACGGGGGCTGCTGTTCCTGCGTTTCAATTCCCAGGTCGAAGCAATGCCTCCGAAGAAGAAGGCATGAAGCTACGCATTGCTGCGAGAATGGAAAAGATACATTCGGCAAACTCTACGTTTTTTCTCGCAGCTTCTGCTAGACAATCCGGCGCTGCGTACACATGCGCGAATGAACACTTGTGCGCACAGAGGGAGATCCAAGTGTGCGTGCGCTGGGGAAGTTGCATAGCAACGTGTCGCTGAACTGCGAACACAGCAGTCCGAATGTCCATGCGACGGAGAAAGATCTTCGCGCACGCAGGTCGGGACGCGGCCGACGCATGTGCTTCAGAGATGCGCGTCAGTTGTGGCACGAGCCATGCCTGTGTGACGGAAGCGCTTGTGCCATGTGTGCCAAAGGGTCGCGGACGCACGGGGCGTGAACGCAGCAGTCCACGAAGTTTCTTGGCGCGTGGCGGGGATTCCGCGTGTGCGCGCGGCTGTTGCCCTGATGCGTGATTTAACATTATTTAGCCTTTGCTTTATAAAGGCACCCACCCCTTCCATGGCAGTCCTTGTTTTGCGTTGGCGGGGATTCCGCGCTTGCTCCCTGACGCGTGGAGTAACCATATTAGGCCTTTGCTTAAGAACCCGCCCTTCTGAAGAAGTGCGTCACTCGAGTGACGGAAGCGCTTGTGCCAGGCATCGCGGACACACGGAGTGTGAAGGCAGCGGTCCACGACAGTTTCTTTGCGCGTGGCGGGGATTCCGCTTGTGCTCGCGCAACAGTTTGCCCTGACACGTCATTTGAGTCATTTGACATTATTTAGCCTTTGGTTTTGCACGCACCTTCCATAGCAGTGCTTGTTTTACATCGGCAGCTGTCCAGGGTCCAGAGGAACGCATCTTTGCTTACCGGGGATTCCACGCAGGAAGCGCAGCAGTTTTTCCCTTTTCCCAGATGCGTGACGTAGCCATATTTGGCTTTTGCTTAAGAACCCACCCCTTCTGTATCCTTCTGTAGCCACGCGTGACGTGCGTCGGCAGCTTTCCTGTCAGGGCCTTTTTGGCATTTGCTTCCGTGCTCACCCCTTTTTGTGCTTGGCGCGCAGTGCTGCCCAGCATGTTTAGGGGCATCAAGAAATTTAAAAGACTTTAAGGAAGTTTAGAGGCCTCAAGAAACTTTATAGGGATGTACGGGTCAAAAAAATTAGAGACTTTAACTTAGACATTTCCTTGGAGGCCCGTAAAGTATGATAATTTCGGGACAATACGAAACTTAGGGGATATCGAGAACATGATGATTTATATCATCGTATCGTTTTCTTGATATTTCGATTTATGATTTCATTTGATGAAACAAACAGAGATATTTTCGGAACATTTATTCTTTAATATCCCTATAAAAGGCTACGGGCTCGACCCCTATTTTCGCTCTGCGGCCGCCCCGTCGGATGCCCCGCCTCCTCTTCCGGTCCATTTGGCTGCTTGTGAGGGCCTTGCAGGGGGATCCTGAAAATTCCGGGAATTTTAACACTTTTTGTCTAAAAATCCTGGGAATTTTGGGAATCACCCGGAGCTGAAAATTCCCGGAATTTTAGGAATTGTCCGGATTGAGGTTTGGGCTTGCCGGGTTGGATTTAAGGTTCCAGCGCAACAGTGATGACGTGGGTGCCCCTTCACCTTCAAGGAAATCTTCAAGGAAATCTCTTGGTCCAGGGTAGTTCCGATGACGGTCGCCGCCCGCCAGCTGTTCAAGGGGGTTCGGCCTCACGATCACATATCAGCAACAGCTCTCGAAAAATCCTAGGAATTTAAATCCCGGGAATTTTCGGGATCCCCCTGGTTCAGGGTTTTACGCTTTACGGTGTAGGGTTTTGGGGTTTAATAGAAATTGTATAGGGTTTGTGTCCGGAGTTTTGTCGTGTTTTGGGGGGGTTTTGTTTTTTGCTTTTGCTGTAATGGTTTGGGTTCTGTCGGGTGTGGCGGGGGGTGGGTGGTTTTGGGGTGCTGAGGGGTTGGGGCTGAAAGGCTGGGGTTTTGGGGAGTTTTCCCGAATGCCCGTGGTGGTGGTCCCGTGGTGGTGGTCCGTGGTCCCGTGGTGTTCGTCGTGGTGGTCCCACAGCGTGGTGGTGGTCCCGTGGTGGTGGTGCTCCTTTGGTAGTGGTGGTCTGTCGTGGTGGTGGCGGTGTCCGTGGTGGTGGTGAGCACTCACCGGGATGGCCCCGGCTCGCCGCGTGGTGTTCCCGTTGTGAAGGTGGTGGTGTCCCGGTCATGTGGGTGCCGTGTGGCGGTTTTCCCGTTGCGTAGTAGCCGGAGGTGGTGGTGGTCTCGTGGTGGTGGTCCCGTGGTGGTCCGTGGTGGTTGGTCCGTGGTGGTGGTCCGTGGCGGGGGTCCGTGCGGGTGGTTGTGTTGTGGTCGCGGTGGTGGTCTCGTGGTGGTGGTCTGGTGGTGGTCTCGTGGTGGTGGTCTTGTGGTGGTGGTCTCGTGGTGGTGGTCTTGTGGTGGTGGTCTCGTGGTGGTGGTTTTGTGGTGGTGATCTCGTGATGGTGGTCTCGTGGGGATGGTCCGTGGTTTGGGATCTTGTTGTCAGGAATACCTGGATTATTTGAATTTCGATTCATAGAATGGATTCTATAGGATCATCGAAATCCAATGTCTTTGCGCAATGTTTTCGGATCTTTAAGAATGACTTATGAATATTCTTTTCATTCGAATTCTTTGTAGGATGTCCCTCGCGTAGGATCATGGATCGAATCTGTTTCTTGAACACGATGGATAGTATTGGAGGAAATTGAAATTATATTTCGTTTCATCAGAATATTTTTTGAATCGGGGGCTCGTCTCATTTTTGATTCTTTATATTTAGGAATCTTCGATTCTTCTTATTCTTTTTTCGTCTTTATGGGATGATATATAATTGGGGGTGATGATGGATTTTTAAGTATATCGAGCGATCTTGGAGAATTCGAAATTCATCTTGCTCTCGTGGATGAGGATTCTCTTTAATTTATTAGGCGCACAGAATGCTTGGATGATGAATTTCATGTATAGAATAAATTTCTGGGTTCGAATTTGGATATTTTGTTTCTTTAGGCAACCAGATCCTAAGTCTTAAACGACAATCCCTAAATCTTGCCTTCTTACTTCATCATTCATTCGAGTTCTTATTGACGTTCGCACGTTAGACTCTCAGAATTCTATAAAGGGATCCCGAAATTAAATGATTTTTTATTTGTCCGTATTTCTTCAAAGCTTTGACATACGTCTTCTTCCATTCAATAGGCGAATATATCGTCGATGGAATCGACGGGTCCCCTCTAGTATAGATATAAATATAAAAAAAAATCCATAAAAGGATCATGAAAACCCAATAGAAGTGAAATATCATATAATAAGATCCAAAAATATTCTTTGAACCCCATGCAAATAATCATATATAAGCACGATATAAGGACCTACAAATATTTATAATTATAATTTAAATATTATGAAAATGATTCGTATCTGTCCTTATATTAAAAAAATCAAATTGCGATCAACCCGGTTGATGAAATTCCCAATTATTGTATACATACTTATCTGATATATGAATGTAGAATAATAGAAATCAAAAATATCCATTTTTGCATGGCGGCGATATCAACTTAAATAATTTTCGATCAACAAAAATCTTAGTGTAAATAATTACATAATTTCTTTTGCACATCCTAAATTCCATTCTCCAAATTTCTTTCTCCATTCTAGATATTGCCTCCATGCCTGCTAGATATCTTCTTATCTTATCATATCTTACGTCATTAAAAAGCTATAATTTCCCTTAGAATATGAGTCGATACCAAAATTATTTGTTTTAACCCTTCCTTGATTTTAAATTAATATATCCCCTATCGTTTTCCATATTTTCCATCTACCACACTTTCATCCTATAGTATCAAATAAGAATATCATTTTAGTGCATCCCCTATCGATCCTCGGTATTTTGCTGCAACAACTACCCCCTCTACTGAAATAAGTAAGTAGTAATTTTGATCGTGTCTCATAAAATTTTGCGGAGAGGGGGGGTGCGCAATCAATACGCTAAAATAGTGGTCTATTTGAGCATACATTATCTAAAGTGAGTATTTCGGAGAGCTCCAATTCCTGGATCGCGGTCTCCATAGAGCGCAAGTGTGGTGCGTGCGGAATATGAAGTGGAGTGCAAGACGTTCAGGGGCGGCCATTATAGTGTTAATATGTGGTGGAGGGCAGAGTGTAGTGTTGAGTTTAGTGGGTAGGGGTCTTAGTGGTGGTAGTTGCTACAAGCGGCTAAATTAATTCGCATCTTCGCGTAAGAAGTCACATCTCCCCAATGACACGTAATTGCGAACGAAGTCACATCACCCCGCGTAAAGTCGTATCCCAGAGACACATGTTGAAGCCTTTCCCCCAATGTGCACGCGCCGCACGCGCATGCCCTCGATACACATGCAAAATACGTACTTATCACCGCACGCCTGAGAGGGAGCACATTTTTGTCAACGTGAATTCTGCTTAGGAGTGCAAATGAGTTCTGACCAATCTTGGACTCGTGAATCCCAGTGTGCACGCGCCCGAGATACGACTTTGCACCAGAAGATACGACTTAACCTACCCGCTTGTAACGTATGTATTTTTTGAGTCTAATCCATATCGGCGTCAGTCCAGGCTAGCTTTCGTTGTCCTCGGCATCGCTCCTCCGGTCATTAGAAATAAATATTGAAATCTCATCCATCAATGTTCGTCTGCATATTTAATATTATAGAATATTCCCCATCACCCTTGAGCTATAAACGTCATCAGCGAATTCGAAGTCCAACTCCGGGGAACATCTCTAAGTCTCAGTAGGGTTCGGGGTTTAGGGTTTAGGGTTGAGGGTTTAGGGTCTAGGGTTTAGGGATTAGAGTTTAGGGCTTAGGGGGCTTAGGGTTTAGGGTTCCTGTGCAAGTTCGAATATACGTCGATTTGGATTCTTGCTCTTTACTGTTGCGGACTGGTATGAGGGCCGAAGCCATGGTCTCACTATTTAACAATCAGCGGAGAAACAGCTGTCTAGTCACCTATGTTGCAGTAGCTGCTCGTAGGTAACCAGTAGATCTGCCAGCGGCAACAGGTGTGCCGCCAGCTGCAAAACCACCATGCATCACTTCTTGCCGAGCTTGCCGAAGGAGTAGGACATGCCGGCACCCACCACGAAGGCTCCGGCGATGGCGTTCCCGATGGTCACAGGGATGAGGTTCTTGATCAGAATATCCCACAACGTGAGCGGTGCGCCCGAGAAAAGCCCGGCCGGCAGGATGAACATGTTGGCCACGGAGTGCTCAAAGCCGATGGCGATGAACATGGAGATCGGGAACCAGACTCCCACCATCTTGCCCGACAGATCCTTGGCCATCGTGCAGAGCCAGACCGCCATGCACACCAGCCAGTTGCACATGATCCCCTTCACCACCGTCTGGCCAAAAGTCGAGCCGCACTTCTTCATCACCGTGTGGACGGCCATATCAGCTGCCCCGGCCGTGAACAGGCCCGTGTATCGGGCAACGACATCAATCAACAAGCAGCCGCAGATGTTGGCGACATAGGCAATGCACCAGTTTCGCACCAGATCCTTCACCTTGCACTTGCCCTCATAGACGCCAATCGCCATCGTTGCTGAGTTGCCAGTGAAGAGCTGCCCTCCAGTCTGGAGGACCAACAGCAAGTTGATCGGGAAAAGGGCGGCGAAGATGGCTTTCTGGTTGATGAACTCATGCGTGACGTTGCCGCCGATGACGAGCGACAGTAGACCTGCCATGCCCACGTAGCAACCACCCATGAATCCCGCGTGGAAGGTCTTCAGCCACGCCTGGTCCCGCAGATACTCCGACTTGTCCACAATCTCCTGGTACGTCTCCTGTGGCGAAGCCACCACGGCAGTGGACGGCCCCTCCCCTGCTGCCCGTCGAACTCCGCCGCCCCTTCGCTGCTTGCGCCAACGAAGGGCACCGGCCACAGTGAACGTCGCCGCCATGGACGTAAGGGCATACTTCACGGAGGGGTCCTCGGAGTAGCCGTTCACGAATGGCTGCCCGCGGGACTTTGCGGCGGCATCGGCGCGTGCCTCCAGGGTGGGCAGTGCCGGCTTGGTGGCGACCACGAAGGCGGGTGCGGAGAGTGCCATGCTGATCGTCTAGCTGTGCTGCTTCTGCTCTGCAGCGTGTCCAAAGGAAGCAACAAACAACAGACGAATGATGAAAGAGCACTGATCGAATAGCTCATATAACTCTAACACTACTAGAAGCGGCCACTCATACAAGAAGTCTGAAAGCCTCTACTGCCAACGGCACGGACATGTTCAGGAAGGATGCGATTGAACACGCTGAGCCCGTACATACCTGTCATTCAAGACCGAAACCCTAAACCCTAAACCCTAAACCCTAAACCCTAAACCCTAAACCCTAAACCCTAGAAAGGCAGGGGCTGATTTTGTCATCAGTAGGCGCACTCGCAGTCTGGGTCTAGGAGTATAGGCCATAGCCAGCCAGCCAATCCCAAGTAGCTTGCTATCTGGGGCTGCCACAAACTCATGGAGAAAAGAATAGCAATACAAATATATGTTCAAATGATTCAAATTGCACTCCACAAAATTGCAAATTAACCACGCCTCACTTCTTTTGGCCGAGCTTACCGAAGGAGTAGGACATGCTGGCACCCACCACGAAGGCTCCGGCGATGGCGTTCCCGATGGTCACAGGGATAAGGTTCTTGGTCAGAATATCCCACAACGTGAGCGGTGCGCCCGAGAAAAGCCCGGCCGGCAGGATGAACATGTTGGCCACGGAGTGCTCAAAGCCGATGGCGATGAACATGGAGATCGGGAACCAGATTCCCACCATCTTGCCCGACAGATCCTTGGCCATCGTGCAGAGCCAGACCGCCATGCACACCAGCCAGTTGCACATGATCCCCTTCACCACCGTCTGGCCAAAAGTCGAGCCGCACTTCTTCATCACCGTGTGGACGGCCATATCAGCTGCCCCGGCCGTGAACAGGCCCGTGTATCGGGCAACGACATCAATCAACAAGCAGCCGCAGATGTTGGCGACGTAGGCAATGCACCAGTTTCGCACCAGATCCTTCACCTTGCACTTGCCCTCATAGACGCCAATCGCCATCGTTGCTGAGTTGCCAGTGAAGAGCTGCCCTCCAGTCTGGAGGACCAACAGCAAGTTGATCGGGAAAAGGGCGGCGAAGATGGCTTTCTGGTTGATGAACTCATGCGTGACGTTGCCGCCGATGACGAGCGACAGTAGACCTGCCATGCCTACGTAGGCACCACCCATGAATCCTGCGTGGAAGGTCTTCAGCCACGCCTGGTCTCGCAGGTACTCCGACTTGTCCACAATCTCCTGGTACGTATCCTGAGGCGAAGCCACCACAGCAGTGGACGGCCCCTCCCCTGCTGCCCGTCGAACTCCGCCGCCCCTTCGCTGCTTGCGCCAACGAAGGGCGCCGGCGACAGTGAACGTGGCCGCCATGGACGTAAGGGCATACTTCACGGAGGGGTCCTCGGAGTAGCCGTTCACAAAAGGCTGCCCGCGGGACTTTGCGGCGGCATCGGCGCGTGCCTCCAGGGTGGGCAGTGCCGGCTTGGTGGCGACCACGAAGGCGGGTGCGGAGAGAGCCATGCTGATCGTCTAGCTGTGCTGCTTCTGCTCTGCAGCGTGTCCAAGGGAAGCAACAAACAACAGCCGAATGATGAAAGTGCACTGATCGAATAGAACATATAGCTCTAACACTACTAGAAGCGGCCGCTCTTACAAGAAGTTTGCGAGCCTCTACCGCCAGCGGCAGGGACATGTCCAAAGAAGATGTGATGCAACACGCTGAGCCTCTACAGATCTTTCACGCGTCTGATTTTCATCGGCAGGCGCGCTCACAGTGTGGGTGTAGGAGTAGCCGCAATCTCGTAGGAAAAAGATAGCAATGCAAACAAATCTTCAAATGATTCAAATTGCACTCCACGAAGTGGAAGCAACTGGTGTGCCGCCACCTTGCAAAACCACAATGCTTCACTCATCTTTCTTGCCGAGCTTGCCGAAGGAGTAGGACATGCCGGCACCCACCACGAAGGCTCCGGCGATGGCGTTCCCGATGGTCACAGGGATGAGGTTCTTGATCAGAATATCCCACAACGTGAGCGGTGCGCCCGAGAAAAGCCCGGCCGGCAGGATGAACATGTTGGCCACGGAGTGCTCAAAGCCGATGGCGATGAACATGGAGATCGGGAACCAGACTCCCACCATCTTGCCCGACAGGTCCTTGGCCATCGTGCAGAGCCAGACCGCCATGCACACCAGCCAGTTGCACATGATCCCCTTCACCACCGTCTGGCCAAAAGTCGAGCCGCACTTCTTCATCACTGTGTGAATGGCCATATCAGCTGCCCCTGCCGTGAACATGCCCGTGTATCGGGCAACGACATCAATCAACAAGCAGCCGCAGATGTTGGCGACATAGGCAATGCACCAGTTTCGCACCAGATCCTTCACCTTGCACTTGCCCTCATAGACGCCAATCGCCATCGTTGCTGAGTTGCCAGTGAAGAGCTGCCCTCCAGTCTGGAGGACCAAGAGCAAGTTGATCGGGAAAAGGGCAGCGAAGATGGCTTTCTGGTTGATGAACTCATGCGTGACGTTGCCGCCGATGACGAGCGACAGTAGACCTGCCATGCCCACGTAGCAACCACCCATGAATCCCGCGTGGAAGGTCTTCAGCCACGCCTGGTCCCGCAGATACTCCGACTTGTCCACAATCTCCTGGTACGTCTCCTGTGGCGAAGCCACCACAGCAGTGGACGGCCCCTCCCCTGCTGCCCGTCGAACTCCGCCGCCCCTTCGCTGCTTGCGCCAACGAAGGGCGCCGGCGACAGTGAAAGTCGCCGCCATGCACGTAAGGGCATACTTCACAGAGGGGTCCTCGGAGTAGCCGTTCACAAATGGCTGCCCGCGGGACTTTGCGGCGGCATCGGCGCGTGCCTCCAGGGTGGGCAGTGCCGGCTTGGTGGCGACCACGAAGGCGGGTGCGGAGAGAGCCATGCTTCTTCACTGGCTGCTCAAGCTGTGCGTCTTCCCCTTGAGTATATAGCTTCTATGTGCGGCGGCAGGATACTGTGCTGTCACGACAAAAAACGGCCTCCTGGTGTGCTGGCTGCTTGGGACACATATTAGCACACGGGGGCTTTTCCTTCTCGACCGCGCTCTGTACAGCTTGTCCGTGAAGGTGCCGAAGCCCGAACACACTTGGCATCACCTTCTATGGTACGTGGGTTTAGGGTTTAGGGTTTAGGGTCATTGACAATTCTGCCACTTTCAGCACAACTCTCCCTTCGTAGCACCTCCGACTTGATCTGACGAACTCTGTACATTCCGGGCGGAGCTCAGACCCGGCACAAAGGCATGCTGCGCAGCTATTCTAGCTATTCCTTGCTTCTCCCATAACCAGAGGAAAATGGTTAAACTTTAACATTCCTACTAAACAAGGAAACCCAAAAAGTCTAAAGTTCAACTAAAGGCGAAGTAAGATCTTCTTCGAATCTTCCGGGACATTTCGCACTACCATCTTGCACATCTTGCAACCCATAAGCTAGCAGTTGCCAGTACTTGTGGCAGGAAACACCCTAAACCCTAAACCCTAAACCCTAAACCCTAAACCCTCAACCCTAAACCCTAAACCGCAAGGGGTTCGTCGCAACAGCGGTCATATCTTCTCGGGGTGTCACAGCAACAGCTAAAGCAGCTAGGCAGATCAAGGGCCAAGGGGCGCTAGCTGTGTCAACTCAATCACTATCGGGTTTAGGGTTTGGGGTTTGGGGTTTGGGGTTTAGGGTTTAGGGTTTAGGTCGAATCCCAACCCTTCAAAACAATCGCGAACCCTCGCGCGCGGCTGGAAATCAGGGATCGCTCCCTGTCACTTGGCTCAGACATGCTTCCGCCTCCGGCGTGGTTCGTCAGTCCCGAAGCCGGTTGTGCTTCATTGAAGGTATTTGATCGCGGGAGTAGGGTTGTGTGTCATGTATGCTTTGATGGAACAGCTTCTGAGGCGTCAGAAACAACTTCAGCGAAAACGAAGGCCTTGTGAAGCTTGGAAGATTGTCGCTGCAAAGTTCGGGAGCGCAAAACAAGTACAAACGAAATGGAATCAATGGAACTCTCATTTGCGATTTTCATTCTGGTGCATTTGTCTTCTGTCACTGTCAATACCCATTGCCAGTTCGCACTCACCTACTCACCAGCCTCCTACACAATAAGCCCTGGACCCTAAACCCTAAACCCTAAATCCGAAACCCTAAACCCTAAACCCTAAGCCCTAAACCCCAAACCCTAAACCCTCACAGAAGAATTCAGACTTGATGGCCTGAACTGCAGGATGATCAAGAAGTGCCTTCACCTCTCGAAAGATTCCGGGCGACGCGGGGCTTGGGGCGTCGTACTGGTTCTGGTTTTAGGGGTTTAGGGGTTTAGAGATTTAGGGTTTAGGGTTTAGGGCTGAGGGTTTAGGGGATTAGGGTTTTCGGGTTTAGGGCTTGGGGTTTCGGGGGATAGTGGTTTTAGGGTTTGGGGCTTAGGAAAGTTCAGGGTTTAGGGGGTTCGAGTGTGGAGGGATTTGGGTAGTCATGGATCACGGCTTCAGCGGTAGAAATGGTAAATGTCTCTGGTCTCTCCTCAACGTGCAGGGCTACGTGGTGGTGGGACATATTGCTCTCGGTCCAATCCAGAAAACAAAATCGGGTCAAATCCTAAACCCTATAAACCCTATAAACCCTAAACCCTAAACCCTACACCCTACACTCTACACCCTACACCCTAAACCCTAAAAACCCTAAACCCACAGGTGCACTGCGCAAAGTCTGTATGGACTCCTTGTGCAATCTGATGACCGAGCCATCTGATGTTCCATCTGTCGGATGTCTTGATGCATTGGTGCAAAAGCCCTTAGTTGTCCAGCAACTTGGGGGAATTAGAGGTTAACCTTTGGGACTATAAGGGGATTATATTACCCCAAAAAGGTTAAAGGTTACCTACTCTACTACTAGGAACCCCTTAAGAACCCTTGCAAACCCTTAAAGCCCTGAGCAAAACCTTCACAACCCCGCTAAAACCCTCAAAACTAAATCCCTTTAAGAACTGAAAGGAAGGCCTTAACAAAAACCCTTGAAGCCTGTAAGCCCTAAGATTGCATCCGGTGAGGCTCCCACGTTGGCGACCTGATTTTTCGTCCTCGGCTTGCGGGTCGCAACTTGCGAGCAGCGGTTTAGGGCTTCGGGTTCCCTAAACCCTAAACCCTAAACCCTATACCCTAAAGCCGAAACCCTACACCCCAAATTCAGTCACCACGCTGTAAACATTCAGGGATTGCTGGGCATAGATGGAGGTGTCCCGGTTGGGGGGAGTTCCTACGTAAACAGCAGCCAGCAGTCGAGTATTTTGGAGGAGGGGGTACTTATTTGCTGGGTTCATACGCCCCAAGAAAGTGTACATCATTATCCCCAAAAGTGTGCAGCGTACTCATTCAGCTCTTCAGGGTATATTACCGGGGCAAGAACTAAACAGACCTGTGCTGACGTCGCGCATGCCACAGAAAGCGGGAAACACCCTAAAACCCTAAAACCCTAAAACCCTAAAACCCTAAACCCTAAACCCTAAAACCCTAAAACCTAAAACCCTAAAACCCTAAAACCCTAAACCCTAAACCCTATACCCTAAACCCTGCAGCAGGGCGCTGGGGTGTCATTTCTTCTTTAAGAATCGGAAGTCAGGAGAGTGCCCGCCTTCTCCCACTCCTAACATGGGGGGGCTTCCGAAAATAGGGGGTACCCTGTCTGGGGCTCCCTTTAAGGGGATTCTCTCCTATTTGGGGTATAAAGGGGTTTAGGGTTTAGGGTTTAGGGTTTAGGGTTTAGGGGTACCCTTAACTTTTGGCAAAGACCCACATGCCGGCAGAAGACATGTCTGGCCGATGGCCAGCAACAAGGCCATCACCGAGCATGAACAGGCCTGAGCGGGCAAAAGAGAGGGTATATAGGGGCCTTAATAGTAATAGGGTTTGGGGGGCTGTTGCAGTAAAATAATGAAGCTCCGACCCCAAGCCAAGCAATGCAGGAGCCTGAAGAATTACCATCTCACTCATATCTCCTCATAACCCCGGGTATCAGTACACTGTAACCCCAAAATATCCTAAGCTTCCCAAAGCATCCATGCCCGCAACGTCAGAACCCCATACTGCAAGCAGTCTGGCACAGCCTAAACATGAACCCGCAACCCTAAACCCTAAACCCTAAACCCTACACCCTAAACCCCAAACCCTAAACCCCACTCTAAGCCCGGCCCGAGGCCGAGGCGTCGTGCCTTGCCCTCCTTCTGGCGGGTGAGACCCTCCTGTGATTCAGGGCTTCTTGGGGAAAGCTTCAGGGTTTCGAGTAGTTGTGCTGGGTTTCGAGGGGCTTGGGTTCGAAGATTTAACATTTAAGGGCTTAGGGGGCGAGGCTTTAGGGGATTTCGGGCTTGGCAGCTACCTGGCCTGTGGGGTTTTGGCTTTAGGGCTTAAGCTACAGCAGTCCAACCTGTGAGGTGCTGCGCCTACCCAACCAAAGACACGAGGGTTTAGGGTTTAGGGTTTAGGGGTTTAGGGGTTTAGGGGTTTAGGTTTAGGGATTTAGCTGCTTCTGCCGCGCTCAAAGTGGCCTTCTCATCTTGCAAGGCCGCAAGCGCCTTGGTGTCGGATTCGGGGTTTAGGGTCGAGGCCAAACCGTGAACCCATGATCCGAAGGGGAAAACAAATCCTTGCATCGGCATGGCATGGCAGTGTTCACTCCGACCTAACTGTGTCACTGCCTGTCGGGCTGACGTCCTGGGGATCTTAAGCCCTAAAATTTGTGAGCCTTATGCCCTGAAGCCCTAGAATTTCCAAACCTTAAACACGAATCCTGCATGAGTCGCACGCACCGACCGGAGTAGCATCGGAAAGCAAAAACTTAGGCTCCGTCGCAGGTCATGCTTGGGACCTTCGCAGGCGCTGAACAGGTCTTGGGGCTTCTGAAGGAGGATTGAACTTCACTAGATGTAACCCTAAGCCCTAAACCTTTATTCCCTTCCCACAAAAGTGGATTGAAGGCCTGTCACCGTGACCCTGAGTTGGTGCTCTACAGGAGCCGAGGAAGAAGCGGTTTAGGGTTTGCGGCTTTGAGTTTAGGGTTGTCTGAGCAAACGTCTTTAAACCCTAAACCCTAGACCCTAATTCACCCTCAAGCCTTTCCCTGCGTCCAATGGGGCCCGGTCCATGTGATCAGGCTTCTATTTTAAGCCGACCTTGAAACCATGCATTCTGGCCTGCGGCTTAAGAGCCAAGGACACCCTAAACCCTCAACCTTAAACCCCTAAAACCCTCAACAGAACCTTGCCTTGCTGTGCACCCGTGTGCTACCCGCTGTATCTTCTGACCGGCGTGCGATCTACTCCTGACACCCTCGTGTCACCACAACGCGTTACCTGGCACCAGCTGCCAACAGCAACGGCTAGGGTCCCGTCCGGCCCCTGCCCATGCTTCGAAGCTCGCACCTGACGCGGGGGAGAGAGACTTATACATACCTTCAGCGGTTGCACTCAAGACAGACCAAGTCTTCTGCTCATCAAACGCACAGTCTCTAAGCCGGCAATAGGAAAGCTCGTGACCACGTTGTCTGCGGTCCACCAATACATAGGCGTAAGTTTGATTTGAATGAGAAGAGCTCACTGTTTGGGGCGCTACATCAATCAACGTGACCTTAAACCCGAAACTTTTAGAGCGCTCCAACCCGCTTGAATCCTGAAGCCTGGACCTTCCCGACTTTGCCCTCAAACTCAAACCCTGAATCCTAAACCCTAAGCCCTAAACCCTAAACCCTAAACCCCCTTGCGCCATGCCTCCCTTACGTGCTTTCAGTACAGGGCAACCTTGGGCCGCTGTGTGGCGGCTTGAGGGCCAATCAACGAGGCCCTGTATCAGACTAAACCCTAAACCCCAAGCCCCAAACCCCAAACCCTAAACCCTAAACCCCAAA